TTGCTGTTTTAACCGTTTTGCTGACGAACGCTGACGTGATGTTCGCAGCAAGTGTCACACACGTCATCTAGCGTGCGAAATGCGTGATCCGCAAGGCGAAAATCGCGGACACGAAAATGTTAAGGAAAGGTGTACAGTGAGACTTCTGGTCGATTATATATTCTATGCTCGCACGGCGCTTCGCGCCGCCGGCTCGGGGATTATTTTTCGTTTTGCAAAGATGTATTTTGATATTTTATAATATATTTCTGCGACCTATTTCGCTATTTAACTGGAAAAACCCTGCAGTTTCATGAATTAGTGGCTGTCAACCGTGAAACAAAGTGTGAAAGGCATGCATAAAGTTAGAAACTGATAAACACGAATTTTGTCGAAGACAAACCGCATCGATGTTTTTAATATAAAATTTAATCGTTGTCTTGACTCTTGGCTATCTTGGGTAAGTGTTATAAACAATTCAGCATTAAAATTTCATACCGTACTTGCTTTGTGTTTTCGATTTCATTCATATCGGCGAAATTTTTATGCCATTTAACTCAGTAAATAATATATTTTTACGCAAGTTGGTATTTATATGAAAATGTATGAATGTAGTGATTTTAAATGTTGTTTATTTGGGCAATTAATACAGCGTATAGTGTTTTTATGCGTGTTTATAATGGTCTTTTACCTACAGCAAATATGGCTTCACCAAAGTATAACTCAAAAACTAGCTTTTGCTTATATAAAGCAAATATATTTTACCGTATTTTCGAGCAAACTACTGACTTTACTGTCAACAAAACGAGTGTTTCAGTTTCCCCTGCAGTTCCACGGCAAAGTTTCGAAACGCTTAATACCGTTACATTTTACATTAACATTTAGCCGATTGAAAGCCACATGTGACATAAAACTACATTCCTTTGAATAACAAATTATGAAAATCAACGATTCTTTTGGTAAAAAATTATCTCCTATTATTTTCTCATATTATTTTCATGTTACCATAGCGACTATTAATATTTTGAACATGGACTACTTTATGTTGAATGGAATTTCTATACTTAATCTGTTAAAAAGGGCGAGGGGTTGCTGCATGCATGTATTTCTAGTCAGAAAATAAGTTAAATTCAGGTAATTTCATTGCTATCCTCCATAAAAATATGGGCAAGCTTTCAACTGCCCCCTGGAAAGCATTAGCTCCGTACGCCTATGGTTACCCATGTCAATTAATCTGCAGGTGTGAAAGTAAAATTGGCTTATCTCGTTTGAACGTTCACTCATGAAGCATATACTAACTTCAATCTACAATATTTGTATTTAATTTTCAGCTACAGTGTGAATGGACCAGTCTCTGGTACAGCATATAATGCAACTGCGTTCATTGGGTGTGACCAAGGCAAGGCAAGTCTCGAACAAAATACGAAAATACGTTACTATATATAGAATCGTGAATAAAAGAAAAGATATACATCTTTTTAGGAGTGTTCAATAGACAAATCTGTTTAATATTTTTAATTCTTACCTTTAAAAAAACTTCCTCTATAGTGCTGTGCTTGTTATGGGCCAATTACTAGTACGAAGGACTACTGTACTGAGAAATGTCAAGCGATTAATGGTGGAACAGTTTCAAAAAACGTGCACGTGTGGTTCTGGGTGCGTTCCATGCTACCAAAAAGAGTATGGAGAAAATGTATGGAATTTCAAAGTCAGGGAGACAATGATCAACTTGAATGGTATAAGTTAATAGCAGGAGATCCAACGCCAGTTAAGGTACGTTCATTTACAAATATACTGCGTGGACAAGCTTTGGACGTCCATTTTGGGACATTGATCCTATGCATGAACATACAAGGAAGTAATATAATTTAAAATTATTTATTTATTAAGCTTTCATAGACAAATAATTAATTAGCTTGCATGTCAATTAGATGCAAATTGCCACTTTAGTTCACGTGTCATGACATATGCTTTGTTTAGCTAGTAGCGAACAAAGAATTTGTTATTACACGTGAACTGAATTTAATTGCCATACAAGCTAAATTTGTCTATTGTACAATGCAATGTTTGAGAAAACATATGAATATAAATTAGGCGAGATTACAACAGGTCAGTTTACATCCGCCAAAGTAAACTGTAAAACTGCCATAATTATATAATTATGTCTCAATCAATTCCATGCGTGCCCAACCCCTCCCCGGGCGTTTGTCGGGCATTTGTCATTTTGGCAAAAAAACGTTGCAAATGCCCCACTATGGGGTCCAAATAATGCAACAAAATCCCCACCCTTGGGGACTTACATTGACGCAAATGCCCCACCCTTGGGGGACAAAATATAAGTTTTCTGAGGATTTCTGATCCAAAAAATCGAATGCAAGCTCTATCACGTATCAATATATCTGTAGCCATTTCGTTTCAAAACGTTTTTAATTAAAATATTGAAGTCTCAAAATTTTATATAGCAATATCAAACTGCGGAAGTAAGTCAATATATCAATAGGATGGACAAGAAAAAAGTGTTTGTGTGTATGTCCCATCGTATGTCCGCCATGATTCATTTGCAATACGCACGCACGTGTAAACATGCGTACTAAAGTACCTAAATGGCGAAACAAGCGATAAATCAGTTCGACCTTTTAGCCTCGAGCAAATTCCCCACCCCGGAGCTAACCTGCAGAAAGCAAATGCCCGACCCTGGGAACAAGTACAGTTGAGAATGCCCGACAAACGCCCGGGGGGGGGGGGTGTTGGGCAACCATGGAATTGATTGAGACATTATATAACTATAAAAGTATTCACTATAGTATTCATACAGTTTAAATGTCTAATTACAATAATTATATATAGTTAAAACAATACACTAGACAAACACAAAAATAGATACGCATGCAAGGGTGGGTTGTAGCGAAGTAGTTGTAGTTCGCTACTGTAGCGAACTACAATTTTCAAGTAGCCAGTAGTTTTTGACTACTTTTTTAAAACAGTAGTTGTAGTTATAGCGAACTACATTTTGCCTAAAAGTAGCCAAGTAGTTGACTACTTTTCAAACAGCGAATCGCTATTCGCTACTTTTTAAAATTGTTAGCAACTTGATAGAATAGCATGATATTGAGACACGGTTTGCTTAAAATCAATACTCAATAGTCAATTTGCACTCCTGAACACTGTAGTGCTTACAAAAATGTTGCTTTGTGTTTACTGTTGCTACTCGTAAGTCGATTTGTTATAGATGGCCATAGATTACATTGCAGCCTGAGTTAGTAGATGCTCCAAATATAGTAAAACTAAAAAATATAGTGGAGCGAAATAGCGAAATAGTTCGCTACATTTTTTAAGCAGTAGCTGTAGTCAGTAGCGAACTACCTTTGTTCAAAAGTAGCAGTAGTTGTAGCTGACTACATATTTTTGAAGTAGCTGTAGTTATAGCGAACTACAAAAATTTTGTAGTCAACCCACCCTTGTACGCATGCATACAGCTAGACAGCGAAATATTACTCGTTAGAACAAAATCAATGTAAATATTATAAGGCACTAACGAAAGCATCGAGAAGGCAGCCATATATTTTAAGTGTTCGAGTATTTGCAACAAATAACGTTCCAAGATGAAGACAGTATCAGGGTCACAGTTATATACAGTTAGTATAGGTAATCACACGGGAAGGAGTGCAATTAATGATTAATTAACACTACGAGTGATATTTGAAAAATGTGCCAAAATTGCACGAGCCGCCGAGGCGAGTGCAATTTGGCACATTTTTCAAATATCACGAGTAGTGTTAATCATTAATTGCACGACTTGCCAGTGTGATTGTTTATTTATTATATGCATGACAAAATCGCTTTCTTTATATTTCAACTGCATTTTGTCAAGACTTTTTAATTCTTTTGTAAGCAATTTGGTATAAACAAACTTGGGAAATGATTATAAACTCATAAAGGCACATAACTTAAACTAGAACACAAGATTCAAACTCAAACAACATATTTTAGACTAAGAAAATCTTTATAAATTGCATTTCAAACTTACATAGTCACGTTTGGCTGCATCCCGCCAAGATTATTTCTTAAAATTGTTTCCAGGTATTTTCAACAGGTTCTTTTTGCCATATAATGTTTTTTAAACTTATTCTTGTGCCAAAATTCAGTTAAATTCGTCCACATTTGTTAGAAATACTTATCTAAATTTCGCCGCCATATTGGATTTTGTTATTTTGATTTCCTGCTCCCCCCAGCCATCACGAAAATCATTAATTGCACTCCTGGAGGGTTAGATGGAAAACACGGAGTCGGAGTTCTGGAGTCGGAGCCCCGGAGTCGGAGTCCCGGAGTCTGACGTCATAAAAATATGGAAAACACGGAGTCATATGGAAAACACGGAGTCTGACGTCAGAGAAAAATATGGAAAACACGGAGTCATATGGAAAACACGGAGTCTGACGTCATAAAAATATGGAAAACACGGAGTCATATGCAGTGCTCTCACTTTTAAGGAATTATCCTTAAAAATAGGAATTTTGAAGAGTTTTAAGGATTTTTTTAAGGAATTTAGGTTTTTGAGGATTTTTTTAAGAAATTTCCAAAACATTTTATCCTGGACTAAAAACGTTTTGACGGAGAATAACCACGCCACGCAAATGAGATTTAAACTTGAAAGTAGCAACATTATATGCACATAATTACATATATTCGTATGTTCTCTATGTCGTAAATGTACATATGGCTGTCTTTCCATTAAAATTCTCAAAAGTTAAATGTCAGTGTATGCTGTTTCTTCTGAAATCTACAGATTGTCTAAGTTCTCAGGGCCCTAGCGACCGGGAGAGGGGGAGGGAGGGTGCAACATACGGTGGCCGATAAGGGTCATTCACGCACAAAAAGTGAAATCACCCCACAATATCAATCATGAAACACGCCAACAAATGGGCGATTCACGCCACAATTTCACGATTCACGCCACAATTCCACGATTCACGCCACAATTTCACGATTCAAACCACAATTTCACGAATCACGCCACAAAGAAACCGCTGACCGATCACGGTCTCAATACTGATTAAATTCATTATTTCCCGCCTTTTCCCGCAACCGCATGACAGTATGAAATAAGCGTAAACATGGCTGACAACGGCCAGTGTATTCAGTGTGGAGAAGCTCTCGTGGATTTCTTTAACTTTTGTTAGACAGCATGTGGCTGATCCGGTTAATCAGGATGTCAAAGAGTATCTTAACAATTTTTGCACATCAGAAGGATTAGAAAAGCCTACTGGTTGGAAATGTGCTCTGAACAATTTTAAAACAAATAGCTGAACAAGTATAGATTTTAACAATTAATATAGTTTTTTATTGTTTGTATATTTTATGTTAAAAACACAACACTTTCAGTCTAAAATTGAATAATTATCAAGTTTGAACTAATCCTTTAACAAATGTCACATTCCAAACTCTTCATATCAACTATAAAACTGTTTTTATAAAGACAATTTTAACTTCAACAAAAAAGATTAATGTAAATAACAATATTATTGGCCAAGTTACTGGGTCTTTAAGCAATATTTGTAAAATATATGAATACTAAAACCATTTTCATTGTTTAAAAGCCGTCTTGCGGTCGCGATAAAAAGGCGTGAAATAACGAATTTAATCAGTATCGAGACCGTGATCGGTCAGCGGTTTCTTTGTGGTGTGAATCGTGAAACTGTGGCGTGAATCGTGGCGTGAATCGTGAAATTGTGGCGTGAATCGCGCATTTGATGGCGTGTTTCGTGATATTGTGGGGTGATTTCACATTTTGTGCGTGAATGACCCTTATCGGCCACCGTAGGCAACACCCCTAATATTGCTCATGAACAATTTCAGGTAGATATCCCGTAGATTTTCAGGTAAATTCAGGTAATTCTCAGGGCATAAAAAAGTGAACTCTCTAATCTGAATTGGAGTTAACAATCAAACAAACTAAAGACGTTGAGACGTGTTGTGGCAGGGAGACAATTGCGAAATATCCATTCTGACGATCTGGAGACTCCAAATTTCCAAAATTTTCTCGATTTCCCATTATAAACTATCCGCATTGTTAGGCAATACTAAAATATTGGGTAGGAAAGACTCTATAAATGCCATTTCCGACGGTCTAGAAACTTCAAATTTTCCGAAAAAATCACGGTTTTAAAGAACGTTCAGTTCGAAAAATTCTGGTAAATCAGGTGAAAAAAAACACTTTTTGCAACTCTGTGATTACCCTGGATTCCAGAGCCTTCGACAGTAAATAATAAATTGAAATGTCGCGAAGGCTCTGGTTCAACGGGGCGATTCTCAACCTCGTTCCCAGGGCTTCAGTGTGAGGACGAGGCGAGACACGAGGAAGCCCTGGTCCGGGCCGGTCAATTTTGCATTCTGATTGGCTAACACCATATTGTCTAAAAATAGCTGAACTTGACAGTTGACAATAACAATTCAACATTTGT